TTGAAACAGTTGATCCCTAATAGTCACTGCTTTACATCTTGATTTATTTATTTATATTGTTTATTTTGCCACCTTTACTTGGTCCTTGTTAACACATGTATAGATTATTAGCGTTGCAGGGAGGCCACCTTGTTATAAAGCACTAATTACAACTAATTTATGGTAGAGTTTCCTTTTTTTTCTCCACTTGACCCTGTCTAGGCAATGAATATTTCAACAATATAACCAAGGCCCAGCCAGTTATGAATGATTTAATATTCTAAAATGTGTTTAAGCACTTCATTGCTTTTGCATTCATTATTAAAAACATTTTAGCATCAATGTAAACATGATTGTGTTTGACTGGTTCATATGGCAATCTTGTTTTTTTAGGACCTTTTTTTGTATTCTAAACTTTATTTAAAATAAATCATTGAGCATTTGCTGCTGGCTGTCATGGGATCCTAAAACAGGCTTGAAAACTGTATTTAAAGGACAATACCACTGAAACTTAGAAATCAGCATTATATGGACTGAATCTTGAATCTCTTGAAGTTCCCACAGAGCGAACAAATATGGAAGAAGAAGCAGAGTTATGGGTGCAATTTGTGCAAGGTTGTCACTTTGCACTGAAACATTTCCTTTAAGCTGCACGGCTTTTTCTCACTGTTTATATTACAGGTTTTATTGCAGAACATCCCGACTGCCGAATGCGACACCTCTGAATTTCACATGCAACATATTGTTATTGTCACTGGGTGTTTCTTGACATGCTGCTCGCTGAGATAAAGAGACGAATCAATTCAAAAAGTCAAAATGAATAATGTTGACAGTCTGTAATTTGTATGCTTTGATTCTGTCTCCTTTGAAACTAATACAGTGTTGCGTTTATGCGTGTAGGTTCTTCGTATGCGTACACGGAATGCATATTTGAACAGATATGACCCATCTGAAACAGAGTTGTGTGTGCCTCTTATTTATTTGTCTTCATGGGCAATTCACTGAATAAAACAAATACTGTTACAACACAAAAAATGATTATTTTCCAAAGCAATTTTGGCCACATGTTATGTACATGTTACAACGTCATAATAAAAAGACCTCCTCACTGTTTTCTCCGTTTTAATAATTAAAAAAGCATTTCACTGTTCACCAGGCATTTACATTGGAATCGAATGCTCAGGTCAAACCACCTTCACTTTTTTTTTTTCATTATTTGCAAATGCAAAACTTGTCAACAATAAATAATACTATAAAATGTACACAAAAAGATTGACAGTCCACCACGAGTTAAAACGTTGAACAGATTGGATGTTTAGGAACAAGGAACTTGGGAGGAGGGTTTTTTTCTTCTTAGCAAAAATGTGACGGTCCATACAAGTTACAGAAAATGCTGATCATCTATACATTGACACTAGCAAGATAACAAAGTTGTTGTTTCTGGTATATTTCTTTTTGTACAAAGAAGGGAGAGTCTTCTTTACAAGCGAGCATCATTGTCTTAACTGTAGAGATTATACAAGCAAGAGTTAAGGCAACTTCTCTGTTGTTTTTGAAAAGTAACATGAAGTCATATCATGTTTTTATTCTGTCTGTGGACCACTCGTTTCTATTAGGTTTGGAGTTAGTTGTCATTGCATAATTCAGGCTGTTGACCAGGCCTGTAGTCCATCATCAAAAAAAAAAAGGAATGCTGGAGATTTGTCACGAGTCTGGTTGCCATCACAAAGACTGATTCTGTGGTCCAGGATTTCTACATGAGAGTTAGGCTTTCATATCTTCAGTACCTGTCTCAGCCGGGGACAGTATACCGCTTGTAACGCCAACACAGCATGGTGCAGATTAGAAACAGACATAATTGGGCACGTTGTTGTCGTCTGAGTGTGTCTGCATGTGTGTGTGCAAAGGTGTCGAGCAGGAGAAAAAGCAGACATGACAATGGATTGTGGTTAGTTCCTCATTAAAATCAAGCCCTCTCAACCTTTTTAATCAGTCTGAAACTTGTGGTTAGGGAGAGTGACCTACTTAGAGAAAGTCTAGGAGATCAGCTACTAGTTGGATGAAAAATTGGAAATTTGGCCTGATGGTGGCACCAGAAGAAAGGTCAAGAAAAGGTCAGCAAAACAATTAGCATTTTCTTCTCTAGGGGGGGAATTTGAAAGAATAATTTAACATTTTGGGAAAAATGCTGAATGAATTTCCTGCAGCAGCACAGCGGAGCAGCAGTTACAACTGTTGCCTAACCTGTTCATCAGCTGGGGTCTTTCTGTGTGGAGCTTTCATGTTCTTCCTGTGCCTGCATGGATTTTTTTTTTTGCAGGGAGCTTCAGCTTCCTCCCAAAGTCCAAAGACAAGCATGGTAGATGAACTGGTGTTTCTAAACTGGCTGTAGGTGTGAGTGTGCATGCTATTTGTCTCTTTGTGTCATCCTGTGACAGACTGGTGACCTGTCCAGGAAGCATCCCACCTCTCCCCCAGTGTCACCTGGGGTAAAGTGGGTATAGCTAATGGACAGACGGATGGACTTTCTTGCAGAGAGTTACAGAATACCACGCTCATATCTGTCCGTAAAGTATTAAAATGGAGCCATGACACTACTTTGTTAGCTTTGGACAGGGCAAAGAGTCTTTATGCTAAGCTAAGCTGCTGACTATAGTAAAATTTCTGACAAAAAAGCAAACAAGCGTATTTCAAAAGATGTGTTGGCCATTAGTGTAGGATGCTAAAGGTACAAACATGATATTATAGCCTGGGGATGGCACTGCAGGGACCTAAAATCCTGACCACAGACTTGGTTTTGACCTAAATGTTGTGCTGTCACTACCCAGAAGGTACAGTGTAATCTCAATTTTAGAACACAACAGTTTATAACACATCTTGAATTAGATGAAAAAAAATCTATCGTCTTTGATATAAACTACAACTTTAGAACTGCTGTGCATATGAATAACTGAGAAAATATTATCTCCACCAAAATACAAACGCAAGACAAAGCAGACAAGGCAGAAACAGGTAGCTTAAAGAGAGCATTTTCGTTGCCTTTGCTTGCAGAGAAACGAAGCGGGGGCAAGGAAATGCTCTAAGTGACACCAAAGCTGGGCCTTGGCAGGCGGCAAGCTAAGCCTAAATGCCTGACTAACAGGCAACAGATAGAGTTGCACACTGCTTATTCTGAGTCAACACTCTGTAATCTCAGCCGGGCTCTCTGCTTGCACCTGCCTCACACACACAAACACGTACACAAAATTACAGTACAATTGCTATGTGTGTTGTGTGTGCGTGTGTGACATGAGTATGTATGCTTGTTACGTGTGAATAATTGCATGAGTAAATGTCGGGCCTCGTTTGGACACAGAGTGAATCACACAATGTCTCACCGTGGCAGAATGAACGAAAACAAAGGCTGCAGGACAAACAGTGAGACATGGCGGGTCTGCAACGCAATGCACACATCTGATGTAATGCCTAATTGAGGGTCACTTTGCTTTTCTTTTCAAATTAAAATTGTATTTTACTTTCATAAGTGTGACACGACATAGGTCTTTATGGGCTGAGTAAACCAGAAAGAGTGTTAACAGTAATACTGCTTTTGACATCCACTTGTGTTCTCCTGTAGCGTCCATTATTTTGTAAAATAAGTGCTTTTTATTTTGGCAACTATGAATTATCTGGTCACATCTTCAGTTTGAAATCCCATTTCCACTGAAAACTAGGTGACATGTTTTGTTTCAACACACCAGAGGCCTTTGGCATATGATAATACCTTGTCTCACACTGGTACAATGTACCTCCTCCATAGGAGTGTAAACTAAATGCTGGCTTTGTCTGATGGCGTCCCAGCTCACAGGCTTCAGCCAGAGTGTAACTGGATCAGATCAAACTGGACGGGTGACAGTTGTGTTGCTTTTACTTAAACTGCCCCAAATGGCTGTACAGAGAGCATGACATTGAGTCAAGGACAACACTGGCTTTAGAATTTGGCTTTAAAAAAAAAAAAAAAACTAAAAAAAAACCCCAACTTGGCAGGATTAGTGGACAAGCAAGAGGCAGCACATTCCAAATTATTGCCAAAATGAATTTGTCTTCAGTGTGTTTATTATGGAAATATTTCTGTTGTGTTACTTCAGCAGTTTTCCTCTAGGTCCCAAAAGAATAATTTATGAAAGAGCTGGCTTCCCTCTGCCCCCTCTAAATTCAGTGCAGTCAGTCTCAAACTAACCCATGACAGGAACATCACTGGTAATGTATTATAGAAAAGATTAAGTACTAGCCTGCGGTAGCAAGTACCCATTGCAGGTTGGCAGAGTTTCCACATTGCCATGCCATCCCAGTTCTTTTGGTGGTGCAGTAAGCCTTGAAATGTTGTCAGACAGCAGGGGCCTGTACCACTGTTGCTACAGCACGGCTTTGTGTTTAAGCACAGGGACGGCATTCCAAAGGGTTTTTAAAAATGTCAATAATAGGAATGATTATCATGACAACTCTGTCTTGTTCTGGTGTCACAATATATCTAAATTCAGTGAAGTTTAAGAGCAAACAAATCGATGCCAAAGAAAAATGGCAGAAACTGCATGATTCCACCCACACACCATTACTTGCTGGTGAAGGTTAACAATATCTCCAGTTTGCTGATTCAGTAGGAATAATTCTCAACACAACTGAAGGGTATTTTTTGTCCAAGGACAGTTTTCCAGCATCTCACTGAAAGATCTCTATAAACTGCCCTTCAGTCATGCTTGTTTTGAGTTACCACGCATCAGAATCACCCAGAACACTTGGTGTCTGGCAATTACATTTCTGCTGGTTGTGGACAAGCATAGGCCGAGAAGTTTTTTTTTTTTTTTGTGCCAGCTCTGTGGCTCTGCAGACTTTGTGCAATCAGTTTAGTGGCAAGATGGGTAAGAAGAAATAAACTATTACTGGAGCAGAGATTTTGTACCTGTGGTGTGACAACAGGCTGGGTTGAAGCATTTCACTGAGGGATGGAAATCTGTCTTTGGGGCTCCTTCACTGACTTCCAAGCAGCAGCTTTGAATATCAGACACTACAGTGAGTTCCATAGTTAAAGACAACACAGTAAGTAATTGTTAGATAGGGGAGGGTGGATAAAGTCAAAGGGGGCAGTGTGGGCTGAGAGTGTCTAAATGAGGAGAGAAGCAGCGGGGTAAAGTCCTGCTGTCGCAGAAATAGACTGTCTTTAGTTGAAAGGTCAAGCGGTCCTGCTGGCCATGACATCCAGTCTGTGGAAGTTGAGTCCATCAGAGTGTCTGTCACACAGACAAAAGGAGTCCTGTCCGCTCTACTATGATACACGTCATCATGTTTGCTTGGACTCTCATCAGTCGTCGAAGGCGATTTGTGGTGCTGGTAGACTGTACGATGGGTGAGGACGAGGACAATGTGTGTGTGTGCACATGTGGAGTGGTGCAGTTGGGAGTGGTGGGGTTTGGAGGTGGGGGGTGGACAAGTGAGCGTCGTTGATGGCACTGCGGTCCTCAGAGCATCCATCTGTGAAACAGAGTGGGAGGAGAATTAGACTGAGTCAAAGCTGTTTTGGGTAAAGCTGATGCATGAATCCAAGCAAGCAGCCCCACCTTTAATTTAAAGGTAAGTGGGAGAATAAGGGGTGTTCAGCTCACAGAAAGTAAGGTTTCGGTGTTCAAACCACTGAGGATCAAACTGAAGTACATGCAGATTTTAGGCAGTGCTCCCTAATTTGGGGTTTATTCTCTCTGGTACCCGCAATCAGTATCAGCTTGAGGACACTTTTGGGCAAATAAAGAATAAAATATTCAGCATCTGCTTCTCGGGTGCCATAAATTTTACATAATGTTTTAGATATTTCAGAATGAATGCCTTGTGGCATTGCATGCTAGTGGGAAAGGTGAAATATAGCGTTTAACATTTTACATTCTCCCATATCAATAATCATAAATAGTGTACATTCTAGTCATCTGAAGATTACAGTGCTTTACTTCTGTGCATTTCAGCAGCTGGTTTGCTTCAAGCAGTTCTAACGGTGTATGGGACTTGATTTCCATCTTTTGTCCTTACTAATTAATCTTATTCAGAGCACTCGCCTCATGTTACCACAACCTGAATTGGTCTTCAATTGCTCTTGAATACAATTTCATTTAATTAATAACTCGAGGAGAGCATCATTAAATTTAGTATTAATGTGCTGAATAAATCCTTTGACATGAAAGACTTCCCATTTACATTCTGAAGCTCGCAGACGTAATCTACCAGTCACAGGAAAGCAACAAGTACTCTCCCTATGAAATGAGAGCAATGTGCAAGCTTAAATAGAAATACATGTGACAAATGTGACTAAATACATGGTATATGAAGAAACTGACAAAGAATATTTAAACAACAAATCAGACTCCACATACACAACATCTAGTATGTCTCCAGTTTTAATAAATCTACTGATTTTGGGTAGTAAAATTTTGTTTTAATATAGCTCTTGGGTTAAACAATCCTAGAATACAGCCTGCATCACCTAGAATCATAAAAGGTAGTGTCATTCAAATCCAGTACACCTTTTGTCAAATTCAGTGAATATCACCACATAGTCTGCTAGCTGTTCTGTGTGTGGACTGATATGAAATTCTATGTGTTCACAGCCATGGCTCTGTAAATGGGAAACAAACAAAGTTGCTCAAACTGGTCCACACAATACTATGCCAGCACGTTCAGTGTACGTTCGAGCATGTTCATGTGACTGGGGAAAGGGTGCAGTATGAGTGAGAGGGACAGTAAATTGTACTTTGAGCATGTTCCAACTGCAGGAAACTCTCCTGAAGAACCTCTTTCAGGCCTGTTTTTTTTTGGGGGGGGGAGTATTTACAAGACCCCTAAAAGCTGCTGGGTGGTCTTGACACTGGTTGGTTAAAGGAGAAATGCTGAATGATTAAACTTGGAAAAGACAACAAACAACACTTTTTCTGCCCTCTCGGTGTCCTCGTCAGTGTAAAATTCGACATATTATGGTTATGTTATGGCATAGCATAACATGTTCTCTATTATTATATTGTCTATGTGCTCATAGAATTGGAGTTATTTCCAGTAACCACCATTTGTTGTTGTTTAGTGCAGATGACACACAGCAAAAAGGCAGCTCACAGGGTCATTCCTGTAGACATTCACACCTCCTCACATGTGCCCTCAGTTCTTGCAGTAGAAAGCCGTCCTATGTAAATATGCTAACTAGCAAAATATCTATGTCTCTCCAGAATCACAGATTGCACCTGTAGCAAAATCTTTTAAGGCGTGCTGGTTCATTTATTCTTTTCCCAAACGGGCTTTATGACTTATTCCCTCCTGCTTCAATAACGCTTTTCGTATGTTTTTAGAATCAGTCCCTTCCGGTACCCCTCCGGGTGACATTCAAAAACATCTGCACACCACCTGTCCCCGTAGAGTTAATGCTTGGGAAGATGCGCATTTATTTTATTTTTGGATGATTATTGAATTGATGCTTGTTTGACCTATTCCACACTGACAGTATGAGGGCACACGGCATCTACTTTTGAATCAGGCATCACATTGTGAAATTCTTAATAAGTGATAAACCCTATTGTGCCATTTCAAAATGACAAAACATAAAATAACCTTGCAGAACTTTCCAGATTTGAAGATTATAAGCCTAAATAGGAACAGCAAACAGCTCATTATAGAACATTTTAAAGGTGAAGGAAATCATTTTGAATAGTTCAAAGACACATTCAAGTTTAGTGAGAGACATTTGAAACATCAAAACAGAGTGATAATTTGATGGGCACCCTAATGTGAATTATGAAATGTCACTGAATAAATCTGTTTGAATCTATACTTGAGTGTTCACAAAAGTGTTTGTGGAAAGACACTGAGGTGAACTCACCTTATTTGTTCTGATTGCGAATTCGCAGACACCTTCTCTTCAGCGGCGGCTCCAGCTCTGGACTCCCAGCTGCTGATAATGGTGCACTGATGGAGCAGGACAGAATGGCCGTCTTATCAGCGGTGGGCTTTGGCACAGGCTGGATGACGACACAGCCTCCGGTTGACAGTAGTGGCAGGGCATAGGCATGCTCACCCTCCTCCAAATTGGAGTCAGGATCTGGCTTACCCTCTACTGTGTCCACTATCTCATCTTGTGCCGAAACTCGCTTTCCTGGCTCCCATTCACCCACCGAGCAATTGTTCTCTTTCAGTGCCTCATGCTCCAGGTCACCGTTGGCTGGCTGCTCCTCTGCCTCTCCCTCTCCTGAAACCCCGTCTCCTCCTGGGTCAGGGCAAGACTCAAATGCAGGAGTAAGAAGTGAATGCCATCCTGTTCCATTGACTATTACATTACATGGGGCAGCAGGGCTAGTTTGGTGCTGGGGCAGAGGTAGGGGCTGGGTCCGTACTGTACTGGGCAAGGGTGGTGTAGTAAGCTTGGAGACACAGGGATTTAGCTGGCTCACTGGAGGATCAGCTTTGCTAGAGGGGCTATTGTTGCGGGAAGGTGGGGCTGATGATTCCAGTGTGTTAGGATGTGTGGCCGCTTCAAACTCCGAAGCATTGAGGAGGCCCTGTGAGAGGAGAGTCCCTTCCCCACTGTCACGATTGCCTTTCCCTTCCCTCCCCAGCCCAGCACCTGGTGGAGATCTTGATTCAGCTTCTGCCTCTACTTTGACCTGGACCCCAGGTAGCATCCTCTGAATTACCTGTTGTTGGCATGACCTTTGGCCCACAGTTAAATCAATAACACCGTCCATCATTCCAGGGCCAGTGGTTAGACAAAGGTTACCTGAATTGTCCTCTGCCTTCACAGTCAAGTCCACTAATGCTGTCCTGCTTCTTTCTGAGCGTAAAGGGGAGGCACGCTCTCCACTATTTGGCTCTATCTTCTGCTCCCCTCTGTCACCTACTGAGGAACCTGGAGAGTGAGGTCCAGAGGCTGAAGCTTCTGAGGACTCTGGAGCACTGCGGACAGAGCCATTGCTCTCGGGTTGGTCCCTGGAAGTTTTAGGGTTGAAAGGGATTGGGATTGGAATAGGGATTGGGACTGGTAGGGGCACAATGACAGGGTAAGGAACCAAGAGAGTTGGTGGGGGTACCAAGGGGGCTAAGGATGGCATGCCAAAGTTCATCATTGGGGGCAAGGGGATGGGTCCATTGGGCATCATGTTGACTGGGGGAAAAGGAGGCAGACCTGGCATGGGGATACCAGGGTGTGGGGGCATCATGCCAGGGTTGGGATTGGATGAGGGGTGGTGATGTGGAGAGAGCAGAGGCCTGTGCATTGGGCTTGATCCTGGGCCGAGGGTCCTAGGGGGAGGTGGTGGGCCAATGCCAGGGATCATGGGGTTCGACAGTGGGCTGTTGGGCCCTGCTGGGTGGGCAGAAGGACGAAGAAATGGTGGACGGATCTGCTGCATCATTTGATGCTCCATGAACAGAGGCAGGGGCATGGGGCCCCGGGGTGTCATCACCATGGGAGGGCTACCAGAGGGAACCCCAACTGGTGGATGCAAAGAAGGAACAGGTGGATGGGGAAGTGTAGGGCTCTCATGGGGTCTGGGTGTGGGGATTTTGGCTGAAGAGGAGGAGGACGGGGAGCAGACAGCAGCAGTGTCTGAGGGTGAGGTGGCAGAAGAAGTGGAAGGAGCCAAAGCAGAGGTGGTGGACGGCCCCCCTGGTGAGGGAGCTTTTCGCCGGAGGTCCGTTAATGGCGTTCCCCAGGATTCAGGAGTGAGCAGCTGTACACCTCCGCTACACTCCGGCTTACCTTCACCAACAGCGCCGTGTCCTGGGTTACACAATGCTCCAGGCAGGGCAGCCTGGGTCTCCTTGTAGAAAATGTCCATTTTATATTGGTTCAGGCATTTGGCACTGCAGAACTGCAGCCTCCGCTCACCAGCACCAAAGTCCAGGTACTCCTTTGTGTGGCGTATATGTTTGCACCAGTCACACACCTGCAAGAAAACACACACATAGCACATATACTGTATCAGCACCTGTCACCCTGCATACAAAAGAGTTTTAATTTGTTTTTGATGAAATACAACACAATCTTGTTTGAAGTACCCCAATGAAGAAGAAGCTCAGCCTCCACACCATCTGGAGATAAGCCCATTTAAAAAAAGGATTCTTTTTAAGGATACTGATGCTGTTTCTAAATACATTTATTCATCTGTCAAAACAAAACACTGTACTGTGAAGTCTGTATAAATGCACTTGCCTGCATTCAATTTATGTAATGTATATGTTTGTGCATGCATTTGCTGCTAAGTGTCATTGAAATGACTTTGCCTCTAACTTTCTGTCCTAATGAGGGATGCCCATTTACACCTTCTGTTGGCAATAAAGACACTCTCAGTCTCATTTACCCACAGGTCCCTCAGAGACCAACACCTCAACCACAACAAGACAAAAAGATGATTTCCTTCAAGTGGCTTTAAACACTTGGTGGTGAATTTTGTAGCAACTAGTCAACAGCTATTACAGTTAAGTCAGGTTAAATGCCAGAAGGAAAACTATGTGATGGCATAATGGGTAAAGAAATGATGAACTGAAAACTTCTGGAGCTTTTTCATTTACGTTTCTGGCAAAAAGACAGCCACATTTGCAAAAAAACAAACAAACAAGGTATTTACCACATTCTTGCTGTGATTTACTCATTAATGTGGATATCTGGCTGAATATACATAATGTGATTATCTTGGTGACAACAGAAGCAGCATTTTTAACAAAAATTGCATGACTTATTTAAAACATTAATTGATAAGTGTGAGGTTTTGGTGTCAATCAATTAAAATTAGAGCAAGAGCTTCTTTTTTTTTTAAAGAAGAAATCTGTGTCAGCTCCTTTGGGACAGTGCAAATGTGTTACTTCCTGCACACAAAATGAAAAAATTACAAGTAATCCCATTTATGCATGTTGGAATGAAAAGTAACACAAATGCATATTCTCTTAAAGAGGATAATCTACAAAAATGACAAATAATCAACTAAACCACGTTGGTATTTTTAAGTGTGGTCAAAGTGAGTATTATAATTTCTAATTAGGTAAATAAGCTTTGTTTCTCGTGTTGTGCATTAAGGCGAGATCGCTTCTGTATGCAGAGAGCAAACCCTGATGAATCCTAACATGTGGAGGCTCAATTGAAAAGTTGTCTTTCTTAGTCACTGCAGTGGCAAAGATCCCAAAACACCCTGCTGCACTGTTTCATCAACATTATACACCTTTTCAGTGCAAAATGTGCAAATTTTTCTTAGGGAAGAAAATGAATGTGACCCTGGTAGAGCTGATACCAGTGGGCGAGCCCTGAACACGGCGTTACTCGTCAGGCCACACACAGCTCACTCTGTCAGCTCTGGGAGGAGTGGCAGGTCCTCGCTGGAGATAATTAAGGCATTAATCAGTTGTCAGACCCTTCAACGACATCCATCCATCACACAGACCCTTAAGCCCCCCTGCAGAATGTTAATAAGTTGAGGGATGCAACCGGAAGGTGGATAAACTCCTTTTGCATGCTGCATAGCAACATTGGTTTATTTGGCAGGCTCAAGTCTGGCAGCCGCTGAAAGACAGTGAACTCACATGAGCTGCTGGGGCAGATGCACTGTAGCACTGGCCAGGATTTTAAAAGCATACATAGCATGCTGTCCTGCAGCTGTGACATGTGTACGACATCTAGTGTTTTGCTTAGATTATGTGTATGTACTATGTATTACGTATATGCATCTATGATAAAGACAAAAGTTTGCATTTATAAGTTTGGCGTCATTAAGAGTGTCTGTCAGGTGGGATGACTTAATAACTTAGAATTCAGGATGGACAGCTGGAGAACATAAAGGGACACAGCGAAAACAGATCAGAGACTTGACTACATAGCGACTGCTCTGCTTAAACACTACGTCGGAAGTGCTCGGATGTCAGTCCCTTGAATTCCACACATTTTAACTGCCCATTTAGTCCTAGCTAATTCAATGAGCCATGACTGAGTAAAAGTCAAAAAGGTGCTCTCACAAGTTGAGTTTGATAATGGTAGGCCCAGGATATTTTAAATAATAAATGTGCTGAAATTTTCCTCGACTCAGAAAGACAGATGGAGAGCACTTAACGACTTTCTGCACCGTGAGTGAAATTTCACTGCGCATTACGCTAATGGAGTTGTGCTTTCTCTTTCTCACTCTCGCTCGCTCCCCACTCCTGCACACAGATGTTTGCAGTTGAATGTAATTATGGTCATTTATTTCCATCGTGGCCAACGAACCAGCAATGGTGGTGTAGCTTAACCATTTGCATTACAACGATTATCGTGCTTCTAAACAAGCGCAATCACCTCAGCAGTCACCATGTTCTTCCTCGTCTTGCCCTCTGACCTGGTGACGGGGGCAGTAAAAATGCAGACTCCCCAGGTCAGACACAACTAGTTTTAGTGTGTAATTAGTTTAACTTGACAAGTTAGGTGAGGTGATTCTTTAGATGATGATAGGGGGATGTTCTCAGCGGTTTGGGAAGTGGGTGAAGAGCATTTAATTGCTGCAGTCACGGAGAGGAAGAAGAGGGCTGTGGACCAACAGGTTGCAGAGAAAGACGAGCAAGTGTCAGGCAGCGTAGAAGAGGAAGAGGTTGCAGATGTTAAAAAGACTGCAGAGGATGTGGAGGATTTAGATAATGAAGAGGAAGAAGAGGAGGAGGTTGCAGAGGGTTAAGAGGCTGGAGAGTTTCAGACGGGGCAGAGATTGTAAGGTTTCATAAGAGGCAGCAGCGCCTGAAGTGGTTTTATATGTAGGATGAAGAGGTTTCTGAGAATGAGGAGGTTTAAGCAGGGAAAGTGCATCAAGGGAGCGGCTTGTATATCCCCCTGTTAAGGTCGATATGCGATTCTTTTGACACTTCTCAGATTGCTGGCATAATCACACAGTGCAAAACACAAGGATTAAACCCACGAAAATGAACCAGGTGCCTGAAGCGAGACAGTCTCTTGGTTTTTGGTTAAGTCGTCTTACACTCCAAACAATCTGCAGTAAAGTATCCATTCCTGACAATTCAGGTCCATCAGCGATGTTAGGAAAAAGGCAAACAGAAACACTGTGCTTGTCGCACGGTGGATTCAGTCCAAAGACTAGATTACGTAGCAACAGACTGCCATCTTAAAGCACCTGGTCCATTGGAAAAAGAAAGTAGAGCTTACACTCAAGTTTACACAAGAAAATTAAACTTTGGCAGTGCTTAACAGACCATCTGCAATATGTGGATTTATTACTGTGATTAGCCAAACTATCAGTTTACAGTGGCCTCATTCATTGTTGCAATGGTTATAATTGCTTGGCTTACAAGAGGGGAAACATATCTGGTTCATATCCTTTCCCAGTGTTTTATATTGGCTGCACTGTGTACCTGGCTTCTTCATTAAAAGCTGAATGGAGTATGAAAAGCTTAAACTGTAGATAAAAGCCAAAGAGGAGCAGAACAACACTCCCTGTGAGGCTGCTCTTATCACAGCCAGCCATCCCATCAGTCATTATAGATGTGACATACAAAGGCCATTCTCACTTGGCCAGGTGAAGCTCAATTGCACTATATTTCACAGCACACACTCACACACATAGTGAGTAAAATAACTCCAGCTGCAAGAATGATGAGACAGACCTGGTGGATTGTGTTTGAATGTCACTGCAGCAGACTGGAGCTCTCAGAGAAGAAATATCTCTGTTGGCATGTGGCTGTCTGGTGCATGTTTGCTTTTCCACATGGGACATCTCGGCTTGAAGCAAAAAAATTCAACATTTTGGAAAATAGTTATTTGCTTTCTTGTGAGAGTAAGATGAGAAGATTAAAACGATTCTTATATCTGTGTTAAATACGGGGTCAAAGCCTGCAGCTGATTAGCTCATCTTAACTACAAAGGGGGGGAAACAGGTAGCTTTTTCAAACAAAGTCCACCAATCAGCACCTCTGAAGCTCACTAATAAACACCTCACATCTCATTTGGTTGATATGCACAAGAAACAGGATGTTTTCATTTGCAGTTTGGTTGGCTTTTAGGCACCAAAGCTACGCGGTTAGGCTTGGGGAAATATCACACTTGGTTTGATAATTTAACAATGATAACTGATTGTTAGAAGTTTGGATAAGTTTAGATCCCAAAACTATTTGGTTATGTTTAGGAAAATATCACATTTTGAGTTAAACTACAATCTTTTCCAGATATGTTTTGATGTTTCTCCTACATTTTTTCGGTTGCCAGGCTGATGAGTCCCACCCCATCTAATATATGATAGGTTGGTCAAAAAGGAGCAGCGTATTTGTGAAATGTCACAAGCAAATGTAATCCAGCAGAAAAAACATTTCCCTCAAAATGTAATTGAAAATGCATCTTTGTTGTATAAGAACAGAATTTTTGGGAGACTGGGCTGGATCTTCTCATCTCAGGGCCATGTTACATTCTAACTTGCTAGGTCATATGATGTGCTGTCTGACCATGTTGGAAATCTAAAGTCTCTCTAGTTGTTCTGAATGATTGAGGATGAAGTTTAAAAAAACAGCTGTCACAGGGAGACCAAATGTAAAATCATTTAAAAATGGTAACAACAACCAACATTCCCGGTGTTGCTCTCAGTTGTTCACAAGTGCAATAAATAGTTGTGACAGCCACTTCAAACTGAATATACTGGCGCTCTAACTCTCAGTCAGAAAGCATGGCTTTAAAAGAACATTTTGGTCCCTTGCAGCCTGGGTTCTTTGCTCCTAGTTTAGGCTACAATTTTGTTCAATTGTGCTAACACTATACTCGCTAGAGTAATTGCTGAGATCTGGAAACACAGCAAAACTGCTAAAAAGAAATAGTCTAAAGGGGCAAGATATATTTACATCAGCATCTAGACCACTTTCTTTAGAAACTGTGAGTGCATCAGATACGTCTGGAAAGAAATAAGGACGTATATTTCCTTTTTTTGTTGTGATGAAAGGCCTACCAAACTCCTTTCACTAAACTATCGAGGGATCATATGGAAACCATGTGTATCACAATGCTCAGTAATAGTCTAAGTCACAAAATGAGCCTTATTTTTTTTACCATAAATGTGTCATTACAATACTAATTTATCCACTATGCTTCTGGATGTGTAATTCCTACAAACCCCGACACAAGTCACTGGTTATGATGCATAATGAAAATGAGCAAAGCAAAAGTTTAAGCATGAAAAAAGTTATGAAAAGCTGAAAACTTAAATGTATGCAAACTTTACATTTAAACATGTGTGTTTTTTTGGGGAGGGAGGAGGCTGAGGATGAGTCTGCTGTTTGATGTCTACTTTTACAATAAAGCCCAAATATGAACAAATGCAGTCACGTGTCAGGAAGAAATGATTTAAAAATGATACACTTTTAACAAAGAACAACATCAAAACATATTTGTGCAGTAGCCATCAAGCTTAAACTCTATCTGGTGGTAAATGGTTATGGTCCTTACAAGCACATCGCTGTTTGTCTTGAAGACAAGCCTGGGCGTGTCCTGAGTAAAGCTGTGCTGGGGTAATTTCCCACCGAGGCCATCGTCGTCTCTCGCCTGGGGGGGGAGAAATAATGGCTTCTTTTTACGAATGGACAAAATAAACAGGTGAACAGAGGCAACAAGGAAACTCAGAAATGGAAAACAACACTGAGAAAGATGAACAGAAACGGTGACTGTAAAATGGGTGAACAGTCATTGGTTTGTGGACAAACCAATCAACAGGATTCTCTGAAACAAAACGTCGTGTGAGTGTGCAGGCATGCATGTGCAGGAGTCTGTAAGACATTTAGTTCACACATTGAAAATGCTGCCTTCTACCACAGCAGTGGGTTTTTAAACACCCATTTATCAAAGGCAAAATGGAAATTAAACACATTTAGAATTCAAATTAAAACTATTTAACATAAAAACCAAATAGAGTAATATTAATGTATACTAGCATAATGTATCTGGATGGCTTTGAAGTTTGTATCTTTTAGTCCAGATATTTGCAGTAGTATTACCATGGTAACATCGCTTTGCTTTGGTAGTATTGTAACAGAAAAGTGTAATATACAAAGTAGGATTTATAAGTAAGACGGTTACTATTCAGTCAGTCGTACTTGTTGTTGTACAAGTTTCTCAATAAACTCAACATGAGGTTTAAAGGCTTATTCTCGCTGACAAGACTTTTGCTCAGGTTGAACATACTGTAGGTGGTGCTTTGCTGACAATGACGTGATTTCACCAAACTCTGCTTTAACTTTTTTCTGTAGAAATGCCACAAATGGTCCTCATAACCAGGGATCAGCTGTCCTGCTTTATTCAAGTCCGATAGGAACAATAACTGATATTTGCAATCAATATACATTTGCAGTAAAAATAAAAATCGTGGTGTCAATATTTTGAAAAACACAAACTCCAACACACAAATTTCTTTAACTGCTTTGTTTATTTATGTTTTTCAAAGTAAATGAAACTTAACCATTTGTCTTTCAGTGCTGATTGGCTAATTCTTGAGATGTAGAACTAATCAGACAGCGCTGTGGGTGGGACATTGCCAAAGACCACCAGAAAAAAGGCTTCATCACAGTCACAGCGGTACAGTTTTAAGTTACTATATGTATATCTTTCTGTGTGGAGTTTGCATGTTCTCCCTGTGCAGCGTGGCTTCTCAGGCTGTAGGCGTGAATGTGAGTGTGCTTGGTTGTCTTTCTCTAAGTGTAGCCCTGTGATAGACTGGTGATCTGTCCAGGTTGTATCCTACCTTCACCCTGAGTCTGAATATTGTGAACCTACCAGTCGTGGTGGTGGCCTTGGAGACTGGTTTGCTGACACTTGCTCAAGTTACTGATAACTGAGATTTGGAATAAAAACTAAGGGCTTCTCCTACTCAGCTGCTAGTTTACAGTCTGAAGAACGTGACATGAGGCTGGCTTATCAGCATTTAAAGGTGAAGGTTGTCCCACACGAACTCGTGCAAGAAAGCTGGCCAAAGAGTGAGACGGATTTCAGTCGACTACAATCTGGTCACACGGGCATTACACTAGCTATTAATATCAGTCCCTTTGTGCATTAAAATGCACTTTTTATTGTAGTTTTGAACAGTGTCACAAAAGGCTAGCAACACATTTTACTCGTTTGCTCATAATTCTGACAAGTTAAGTCAAGCAGGCTTATCACAGTCTCAACAGGGTGACTAAATTCTCAGCAAAAGAGGGGAGTGTTTAAATTTTACAAAGTGAGTATAAATTTGCAGTGGTTGCTTTGGATGAAATTGTTGCCGAGTGTCACCATTACTAAACATGGTACAGGAGAGGAGGGCCCAAAACATGTTACCTGTTATTAGTTATTAAACACATTTACTGTCACATAATACATTTTATACCTGTTACATTATGTCTGTTAATATGATTTGATAGGATTGATTTGCCTAAAATAGTGCCCATTGTGAGTTTCTTTTCCATGGTTGTGCTAACAAACACCAAACTTCTTTCAACACCATGTGCAAAAGAGGCCACCGTCTCCTGCACTCTGAGTCACTCATTATGCACAGTGTGAAAACTGAAGCAGTCACTGCAGTTATGCCAGGTGTGGGCAATTTTGTTACAAAGAAGTTATTGGAGAAGCTTTGTCTGGCACAATGCCAAATTGCTCCATTGTGTTTCATTAAATGAAATGCACTTTTATATAATATAGACCTCAGTGTGATATAATTAGTTCATATTTTACAGCCACGGGGCACTGAGCCACTGTTATCAGAAATGGAGATTTAACCTCAATTATACATGTTCATCATGCCGTTCGCAGCCCCGAAGCCGACGTGTCAAACTGAGCCTATACTGCTGACAGGTGAACCACTGGTCTGAGCAGCTCTCGTTCATATTATGTTCCCTTTAAATTGCTCCCTGCAACCTTTGATTTGTCATGGGTAATTTGGCCTCCAGCTCTGTTCATCTCTAGATGATACCGAAGGGCAACTCTGGCGTATATTTTACATTTTTTGTCCAAAAACTGATTGAGTTTGCCTCTGCTTCCATCTGCTTCCCTCACCTCCAGGTAGGGTTTCCCATTCCAAGTGTGGCATAAATCAAATATTGCTGTCTTGTGTCTCATGAAGCGTGCTGCTATTTGTACCGGAAACGATACAGTGCAAGAATTTGACAGAAAACATTGTTCTGCGACAGTTTACAATGTAACGTGTGAGATTTTTTTTAACTTTGTCACAGAAGGTTGGAGAAAATAAAAGCACAGATTATGGGGTCATGGTTAATTAGGAGCTGTCAGTGCACTAACTGAACAGTAGATGTAGGCTGACCCACATATGCACCGAGTCTCCACAGTATGGGCGCGGACGCATCACACGGACACTCTCAAAGACAGGTAAACGCACATAATCTGGGCAGGCATTTGAGGACACGCACACACACACTTCCTCTCTCTCTCTGACACACACACACAAAAAGATGCACCATTGTGCTATTATTCTGTCTCCAGTTTGTGCTCTGACCCTCTGGCCCTGTGCCAGTTCATTTGCATATTGTACTAATGAGGTGTTGGCACTGTGAACGAGGCGTGAGGCGCACACAGGGAGCCACACACAGATAAAGGAGTAGATAGATAGATAGATAGATAGATAGATAGATAGATAGATAGATAGATAGATAGATAGATAGATAGATAGATAGATAGATAGATTATATTCTGTCGATTCAGCCTCTGAAAATGGTGTAAAAATGTCTTTTTTTTAAATCTAAGTCAATCATTGTTCCCCTCAGGACAGCAGGGAAAATGCGGTGTCAGAGCCACGTGTCTTTTTTATTTAAAGGTGTTTTTTTTGCTTCCTTACTGCTGCTCCATCATGCCAGCAAACTGCAGCTGCCACCCAGCTGAAGTTCCTTATAAGAACGACAGCGCAGGACATCGTCCGCCTCGCTCCCCTCTGGCAACTTCAGTGTCCTGAGGGGACGTCACGCCAGCTGCCACCGCGCTAGCTTCCATCTGGGCATGCATACACGTCCAGGTGTGTGTGCCCGTCACCTGCCAAAAGAGCTGTGCTTCCCAAAGAAAGATGCTCATAGGCAGGCTTTTCCAAATCCAAAGACAAACACAGCCGAGCGCACTAGAGCTCATCCCAAATCCTTAAATGAAGGTGCAGTCCTGGCACTATGCAAATAACAAGCAAGAAAATGCAGTCTTCCAAAAAAAAAAAAAAACGACAAGTTTGTGTCTACTTTTCATGTCTTGGAAAGCCACCGCAACACCAGTTCACTTCTGTTTGCACTGCACCGTATAGATTTACTACCACAGGCAAAGGAATATGTCTAGAGCCTCTGATCATTGCACTTACATTTTTGCATGTGCACACACAAAACTAGTGCTTGTCGAAGGTTGTCTGGTAAGGACTAGTAGTAAAAAAAAATACAGAACAGGATAAGCACTTCAGCTGTTTAAAAATTTAATACTTGCTGTACTGCAACATATTGATCTATGTATCTATTTGAGCGTATTACTGTGGCCGGCATCTCTAAATTTTACTTTTATTACACAAAGAATGATGCAGGCCAATTTTCTTGTACTAAATCTCTTTTTAAAGAGTGCAGCAAATGCTATTCTCCATGTAACTGCCTTGAGAATAACATCTCCTTGGCACACTGACTGTAAATTGTGGATTGCGGAGTTGCTCTTGGAACTTTACAAGGTTGCGAAGAGCATTTTCTTGCTTAGTACCATTATAACAATACACCTAAAATGTGTAATGTGAAATGTGCCTGCAAATAAAGAAATGAAATGCATTTTTACTGCATTTCCGTGCGAGTGGAGTTTATAACACCTGCAGTACAAGTTTAGGAAATGACAAAAAGGCACGCGAGTTCATGTGCTTCATTTATACAGTTTCGACGCCTAGTTAGTCGGAGTTACTTTGTCTTTATTTGAGCTGAATGGCTGGCAGCTATGAGATAATCACCTTCCTCTCTGTGCCCTGAAGCTGTGTCAGGCAGGCCTTAAGGCTTCCTAACCACCAGTGAGTCTGAGCTGCAATATGCAGACACTTTACACACTTCATCACGCACACAAAATTTCCACAAGGAGCTGCATTCATGTACACACCTCTCACAGCTATACACACACACACAAGCATGCTCAGACATCCTTGTCTCTCTTATTCACTTTGCGTGCGTGCTCTCCTTGGTAGCCGATGGAGATGCAAAGTAAATTGTGCTCAGGACCAGGGAGGCAACCACGGCGCTGAGTGTGTGAGGGAGCAGACGTGTGTGTATTGGAGGTGATGTGACATTTCTGGGCTGACATGAAGCGGCACTCTGCCCCCTCGCGCCTGGAGGGAGCTCCCGGGGAAAGACACTGATGGAGTTCTGGGGTCTCCGGGGGGGAATTTCATGGTGTGAACAAAAAGCCTTGTGCTGCGGCAGAAACGACCTGCATAACACAAACTGCAGTCTCCTCTCTACCTTGCTTCGTGCTTTTTCGAATGTTGTGACCCATATGCGTGCAACTTTGCCTTTTTTGTACAATAATTGGAACTGCATATACGTTAAAAGACCGAATGTGATCCT